TTACTGAGGATTTGTTCTCTTTCTTTAATATTTTTTCTCTGTTTTTCAGATTGGATAATTTCTGTTGAGCTCTCTTCAAAATTGCTGACTCTTATGTGATCTCTAATATGCTGTTAAAAGTATCTAGTGATTTTTTTTCAGTTATTGTCCTTTTCAGTTCTGAAATTTCCATCTGATTCTTTTTTATATTTTCAGTTTCTATGTTGAGATTCTTTATCTGTTCGTTCATATGACACTATTTTCCTTCAGATTCTTGAACATATCTCTAATAGCTGCTTACTGCTTTTGTTCACTGATTCCAATGTCTGGTACATCTTGGGGTCAGTAACCTTTTTTTTCTTTGCTATGGGTCACATTTTAATTTCTGTGTCTATTAATTTCTTATATAGTGGACATAGTGAATGATGCATTGTAGAGATTCTGGATTCTGTTCCTCTGAAGTGTGTCGACTTGTGTTCTACTAGGTAGTTATCTTAGGTTGACTTGTACTCCAAACTCTATCTCCTTTGAGGTATACAGCAGCACAAATCTCTGCTCAGTTCTTTTAGCTTCCAGCTGCTATTGTTGTCAGACCTCCTGAAGTCAGTGATCAGCCAAGAATTTGGTCACAGTTTATACACATTTTGAGGCTTATCTGTGGCTTCTTCCTTTCCAGAATTTCCCTAATTTTACAGCTGCTTTGCCAGCCCTAATCTTGGTTCTCTGAATCTTCAAACCAGTAAACTGTGGGGTTGTGCCCTCCCTGTGTTACGTGGATGAAGAAGTGCCCTTAGGTAGAAAGCCACAGACTTGTAAATCTCACCCATTGCTGTTCCTATCTTTTTAGGGGTGACTTCCCTCCAGTTCCTTTCTTTTTTATTTTTATGTGTATTTATTTTGAGAGTGTTCACATGAGTGAGAGTCGGGGAGGGGCAGAGAGAGAGGGAGAGAGAGAGAATCCCAAGCAGGCTCTGCACTGTCAGCACAGATCCTGATATGGGGCTCAGTCTCACAAACTGTGAGATCATGACCTGAGCCAATCAAGAGTCAGACACTTACCCAACTAAGCCACCAAAGTACCCCTCTTCATTTCCTTTCAAGGAACTTTTAAATAGTTTTTTCTTGGGGCCCCTGGGTGGCGCAGTCTGTTAAGCATCCGACTTCAGCCAGGTCACGATCTCGCGGTCCGTGAGTTCGAGCCCCGCGTCGGGCTCTGGGCTGATGGCTCAGAGCCTGGAGTCTGTTTCCGATTCTATGTCTCCCTCTCTCTGCCCCTCCCCCGTTCATGCTCTGTCTCTCTCTGTCCCAAAAATAAAATAAACGTTGAAAAAAAATTAAATAGTTCTTTCTTATATTTTACCCAGTTTATAATTTGCAGGCATGAGCAAGACATCCAACTTGTATATTCTTATCTAAAGGAGGGGTAGTTCAACCAAACTATTCCACTGTTAATGGAAGCCAGAACTTCCCTTCTTTTAAATTTTAACCTATTTGAACTTATTTCCTCAAAATACATAGCTAATAGATTTAGCTATATTTTATAGAATAGATTTAGCTGATATTTATCCCCTTCCCTCAAAAAAAAAAGTGTCAACTGTGTTAGTAGGATTTCATTTTCATTCTTGCCCTCAGTAGACTATATTTCAATTGAGAATTCATTTGTAATTTTAGTTCCAGGTTTGGGGGGTCTTTAGTTTTGAATGCCAGTTTATCAAGGGATAGTACTATGTATCTAAAATAATTCTCACTCAGAAATTTGAAAAGGAGTGTGAAAGAGTCTCGATACCACTGCCGTTTATTTTAGCTTGTGACAAGATTCTCCAGTTTGTCTTGCTTAGGATTTTGCAATTTTAACAATTTTGTATGGTTGTTTTCAAGATTAAAAGAGAAAGCATAAACAAAACTGCTTCTCATGGCACAGAGTATATATTCTGTAAATGCTATTCCCACCCTCTTCACACTGATGATTGTCTTCATGGAAATACATACACAACATCAGTGCCCAACTCATTCATTTGGTTCTTAAATAGGATATATTTAAATCCATAGGTGAAAATACTAAATTAACCACAGCTTATATTTCTCTATTAACGTACAAAAATGTTGAATGTGTTGTCAATATGGATATTCCCATAAAAAAAAAAGTATGAATGTAACCATCACTGAGTTTTAGCCAACGGAAATACATGCCAAGAAACATGTTGTTTTGTTTTGTTTTAAGAAATTTGAAGTTCCATTGTCTTCCAGGCAACAGTTATTGCCAACAAAGAGTCTGTTACCAATATGTTTTTGGGAGAGGGTTCATGGTGTGTGTGTGTGTGTGTGTGTGTGTGTGTGTGTGTGTGTGTGTTTAATTTTTAAATTTCACAAACAGTAAAATTTGTTTCTTGATGTACTATTCCAAGAGTTCTTAAGCATGAAATCTGAAGCCCTGTACATAAAAGAAAAAAAAATGATAAATTGGATTTTACCAAAACTAAAGGCTTTTGCTCTGCAAAAGACATTGTTAAGACCACCCAGCTGACTGAAAACTATAGAAAGCTTATGAAAGAAATTGAAGAAGACACACACACACACACACACACACACACACACACAAAGGAAAAATATTCCATGCTCATGGATTGGAAGGACAAATATTGTTAAAATGTCGATACTACCCAAAGCAATCTACATATTCACCACAATCTGTTTCAAAATAACACCAGCATTCTTCACAGAGCTAGAACAAACAATCCTAAAATTTGTATGGAACCAGAAAAGACCCTGAATAGCCAAAGCAATCCTGAAAAAGAAAACCAAAGCTGGAGGCATCATAATCCTGGACTTCAAGATGTATTACAAAGCTGTAATCATCAAGATGGTATGGTACTGGCACAAGAACAGACACTCAGATCAATGGAACAGAATAGAGAACCCAGAAATGGACCCACAAACATATGGCCAACTAATCTTTGATAAAGCAGGGAAGAATATTCAATGGAATAAAGACAGTCTTTTCAGCTAATAGTGCTGGGAAAAGTGGATGACGACATGCAGAAAAATGAACCTGAACCACTTTCTTCCACCATACACAAAAATAAACTCAAAATGGATGAAAGACCTAAACATAAGACAGGAAGCCATCAAAATTCTAGAGGAGAAAGCAGACAAAAACCTCTTAATCCTTAGCTGCAGCAACTTCTTACTCAACACCTCTCTGGAGGCAAGGGAAACCAAAGCAAAAATGAACTATTGGGACCTCATCAAAATAAAATTTTTTGCACAGCGAAGGAAACAATCAACAAAACTAAAAGGCAACCGGCAGAATGGGAGAAGATATTTGCAAATGACTTATCAGATAAAGGGTTAGTATCCAAAATCTATAAAGAACTTATCAAACTCAACACCCAAAAAACAAACAATCCAGTGAAGAAATGGGCAAAAGACATGAACAGATACTTCTCCAAAGAAGACATCCAGATGGCTAACAGACACATGAAAAAATGCTCAATATCACTCATCATCAGGGAAATGCGAATTAAAACCACAATGAGATACCACCTCATACCAATCAGAATGGCTAAAATAAACAACTCAGTCAACAATAGATATTGGCAAGGATGCGGAGAAAGAGTATCCCTTTCGCACTGCTGGTGGGAATGCAAACTGGTGCAGCCACTCTGGAAAACGGTATGGAGCTTCCTCAAAAAATTAAAAATAGAACTACCCTACAAATTGCACTACCAGGTATTTATCCAAGGGACACAGGTGTGCTGTTTCAAAGGGATACTCCAGTGTTTATAGCAGTACTATCAACAGTAGCCAAAGTATGGAAAGAGCCCAAATGTCCATCGACGGATGAATGGATAAAGAAGATGTAGTATATATATATATACGCTAGAGTATTACTCGGCAATCAAAAAGAATGAAATCTTGCCATTTGCAACTACCTGGATGGAACTAGAGGGTATTATGCTAAACGAAATTAGTTAATCAGAGAAAGACAAATATATGACTTTACTCATATGAGGACTTTAAGATATAAAACAGATGAATATAAGGGAAGGGAAGCAAAAATAATATAAAAACAAGGAGGGGGACAAAACATGAGAGACTTAAATACAGAGAACAAATTGAGGGTTGCTGGAGGGGTTGTGGGTGGGGGGATGGGCTAAATGGGTAAGGTGCATTAAGGAAGACACTTAGGATGAGCACTGGGTGTTATATATAGGGGATGAATCACGGGAATCTACTCCTGAAATCATTATTGAACTATATGCTAACAAACTCGGATGTAAAATTAAAAAAAAAAAAAAAAAAGACCACTCAGCTGATCTCAGGAGTTTTAAACAGAGGTTTGGGGGAGCAGTGGCTGAAAGGAGATGGGCTTGCGTAGGAAGAGAGGATTGATTTTGGTCTTGAAAGAACCATTCTGGCTAATATTTATAGTGTAGTGGAAACAACTCAAATTGACATCATGCAGATTTGGTTTTGAAATCTGGCCCTGGCTCACTGTAGCTCTGTAACCATGGCAAGTTTGGAACAACATGAAATATGAATAAATTCCGTGTGTTTGTACACTAAAGATGATGCTATCTTTTTTGTCTACTTTTCTGGGCTCTTTTCTGAGGATCAGATGAAACCATGTGTGTGAAAACACACTGAAGAATATAACACTAATACAGGTAGGTGAGGGACTATTAATAGTTATTTCCACTCGCCCCTCTATGCTGATATGATCCCGTAACATTGTGTGAGAAAAATATTTAACCAGTATGACCTACTACATATTTATATAGCAAATAAAAATTTTTTTAATTTTTTTTTAACGTTTATTTATTTTTTTGGGACAGAGAGAGACAGAGCATGAACGGGGGAGGGGCAGAGAGAGAGGGAGACACAGAATCGGAAACAGGCTCCAGGCTCTGAGCCATCAAACCAGAGCCCGACGCGGGGCTCGAACTCACGGACCGCGAGATCGTGACCTGGCTGAAGTCGGACGCTTAACCGACTGCGCCACCCAGGCGCCCCCTAGCAAATAAATTTTTAAAAAGAGTCATTTTATTGTTAAAATCAAGAGTAGACTCTTGAATACTGAAAATTCTCCAGAGCCAAAGAAGGTGAGTTTTAGACATCCTGACAAGTAGACAGGGGTGGGGTTCCTATTGAGATGGAAAGGTAGGGGGTTCAGAGAAGGTTCCACAGTGTTGTTTAAGCTACTTTGCATTTCTCTTTGTGGTCTCTGCCCTGGGGGACCCCTCCACTTTGAGGAAGGTGGAGTGATTTGAAATGCATCCACTTTAAGCTCCGGCTGACCCTGCAACTGGCTAATGGGAAAAGAAGTCTGTCGCCAGCCTATATTCTTTACCATACGAATTTATTGAGAAAGAAAAGAATGTTGAGAGATGGGGTAAGGGAAGGCAGATGACAGAGAAGAATGGCTTATAGGGCATGGATAGGAGAGGAAAGGTGAGGGATTTGAACATCCTTTCTGACACTCAGGCGGAGACAGATGTGGTTAGTTATAGACTGGGGGAGAAACAATATAACTTGAGCCCAGTCGGGTAATGGAGAATTTTTGCTGCCTGAGTCAGAGCGGGAAGCAAGGGCACAGGCTTCTAGATCTTGTTGCAGAAAGATTGATTCCGACAGCATATAATTTGCATCCTGGTTCCATGGGAGAAGAGGTTCATTGATGGGCACATATTCTCACAACCCTGAACCATGAATTGGAGTTTTCCACCTGAAAGAAGTAGAGATAGACTATAGTGAGCAGAAGGCTTCCTTCTCCCACCTTAGCCTTCATCCATGGTCCCCAGTGTCCCCATACAGGCACGACCAAGGTCTCCAGCTTGTATATTCTTCCACCCCTTCTCTTTCCATCCGCCTTTTCTGGGCCCTTCCCCATATCTGTTGCCCACTGCCTCTATTGAGGGACTAGACAAACCACAAGGGAAATCAGGAAGTGGTTTTGGTGATGAGGAGTGAGTATAAGAGTAGAGAGGTATGAGACTATACTAAGATAGTTCTGGCAACCTATGAACACTGACTGATAGACAATTCTTTATTCATTTATTCAATATTCACTAAATGCCTTCCATGAACTAAACATTGTGCTAAGTGCTAGGAATATATAGCCGTGAACAAGACAGACATAGTCCTGAGCTTATGGTCAATGTGTCAACATCTCAAAGTGCAACTCACACGTTTCTTTAATACAAAGAGATAGTCTCCCTGTCTCCTTTTAAGACATCATAGGCTTGCTCTATGGAGGGCCTCTACCTCTCCATCAGTAGCTGGAATGCTGCTCTTAATTCTTGAAAGGATAAGGTTCTCCTGAATCTCCAAGTTTCTGGGGAATCACAAGTTGACCCCTCCTCAGACTGCCACCACTGCAACTACTCCCAAGAGTACTCAAGTTAGTGGATGTGTTTCCCTGGCAAAGATTGTATCATGAAGTCCCCACATACCTTCAAAGATCTTCTTTAACATGCACTGCTGGGAATTCTGAGTGGAGCAGACTCCCTCTCCACGAAGACATTTTCCTTGATCATTCATATATGAGCATGTGTGGCAATTTAATATTGGGCCTGCCAATTTAAGATAAGCCTAATGAAATTCCCTGGTGGTCCAGGTGTATAGCTATGAGTCACAAGGGGTGGGATGATGGGTAGCAAGGAGCCTGGATACCACACATTTCATTGCTTGGCTCTCACTGAGCATCTGAGGGCCCTGCGTCTGATAGAGCATAGTCTCTGTTCTGTACCTGAGGAAATGCCTTCATTCTTACTGCTTCATCTATGATTTTCATTGCTGAAGAATCCCAGATTGCTCCCTATATTACTGATGTTTGTTCCATGCCCCCACTGGCTTCCTGGATATTTAGTTAGATGCCCTTCTGCCACGTCTGACTCCATAGGAGCAAAGTAGAACTTTTGTCACTTGACTGGCTCCCCTTTGTACTCCCCTGTCATGCTCTTACCCATACGGGACAAATGGAGTAAAAACTGATTAATAAGCTATGTTAGAATACTCTAACGTTGCAAACTCTGTAAAGGGTGATCAGTCTCCAATTTCAAACTGACCTTCAACAATGTCAATTTGTCACAAAGGGCATTCTTTTTGAAATGCTTCCGTTTTGCCTCTTTTGCTATCTCCATTCCCAATTCCCTAGTTGAGGAAGCACAAAGAAATCGAAAGGATGTGGGCTGAAGAGTCAGGCTGACCCAAGTTTAAATCCAAGGATTGCTCCTCTCTAGCAATGTGATGTTAGCCTTACTTCTTAGAAGATTTGGAATACTACTACTTATGCAATGGGAGGAAATATGAAGTACTTATATTTGGTAATATCTTGAGACATCAAACTCTGGGTCTTGTTTTCCTTCCTTGGACAACCCTTTTTAGTAAGAGCTAAAACATTGCAGTTTTATTGGGAACTTATTTGTGGATCTAATAGACAAAAGTGTGCTCATGTTTTATTGTCCATGTTCAAACAAAACAGAGCCACCTAGCCAGGGCTAGATATCCACTTACAGAGTTTGCAAAGCATTCTAACAGTTTGTTGGGGCAGATTTAGCATGAAGCTCATGGAGCCTAGTCTTCCACGAGCCCCTTCCAAGGGAGTGTATTCATAGTTTCGTATGTAGAATAAAGATGGGGGGACTGCTGGCATTTTGTATTTGTGTGTGTGTGTGTGTGTGTGTGTGTGTGTGTGTGTGTGTGTTTTAAAGAGGGCCCTCAAAACTGCTTAGCTCTCAGGGCCCCACAAAACCTGCATCCTGCCTCCTGGTATTATTATCAAGAGACGTAAAGAGCGTCTTTGAGAGAGCTCTTCGTGAAGTGTTTGTGAATTAGTCTCTCTTCCATACCCTCTCCTTAAAGTTGGGTTTCTTGATGTTCTGCCTAGGTCACACCTGAAGTCAAGGACTAGTACCCATCCAGATGGGTACTGAAAAGGGGCCTCACCTGAAAGTGTGCTTGAAGGTGGAATGCCTGAAGGCTGTTCACCCGGTGGCTTTTCACCTGAAGCTTGTTCACCTGAAGCTTGTTCACCGGAAGCCTGTTCACCTGAAGGCTTCTCACTCAAAACTTGTTCACCTGAAGGCTTTTCAGCTGAAACCTGTTCACCTGAAGGCTTTTCAGCCAAAACTTGTTCACCTGAAGGCTTTTCACTAGAAGACTGTTCACCAGAAGTCTGTTCACCAGAAGTCTGTTCACCTGAAGGCTTTTCACCAGAAGTCTGTTCACCTGAAGGTTGTTCACCAGAAGTGTGCTCCCCTGTGGTGTGTTCACCTGACATGTGTTCACCCGCAGCATGCTCACCTGAAATGTGTTCACCTGAAGCGTGCTCACCTGAGGCGTGTTCAACTGAAGCGTGCCCACCTGAGGTGTGCTCACTTAAACTGCTCTCGTCTGAAGAAGTCTCATACAAAGCCTCACCATCTGAAGGGTTTCCAAGTGAAAAGTACCCACCTGAAAATTGCTGAACGGAAGCTTGATGATCCATAGAACCAGGAGGTTCATCAGGCTGACCTGATGCTCCTGGGGTGGAGAAGGAACAGAAGAGAGAGTGAAGGTGAGAGAAAGAATGTCTGGGATAAAGACTGCTTTTCGTATGCAGTAAGGCTAATGTTGTGGGATTCCTGGGTTTCCTGTGGGCCAGATCAGGCACGTGAAGATATTACAGAGGTTGGGGGAACTCACTGAATTACCCAAGAGACCATGAAGGTCAGAGGCATTAGTAATGAAACACACAGAGACCAACCCTGGCATTTAAAGGAAGAATTTTAAGATCTGCGTTGTTAAGAAATGCACAGGGGGGGCCCACTTGCCCATGTACCAAAAGCACCTAAAGGGAAAATAACGTGCTCCCCCTGACAAAGCCAGCATTTGGAAATCAAAGTACCATCATCACTCACATAACCAGAAGTCCACCCCAGCCCTCCCTCCAGCGTCTCTGTGGGTGAAAGGCAAGAAGGATGAGGATATGAAAGGGAAAGAGAAGCTAAGTAGTTCTGGCTGGAATTTAGCGTGGAAGGTTTTAACCTTGACAGGATACATTTTAAATTAGAGATGACAAATATCTAAGGAACCCACAAAAATTATGAGACAGGATTTAAGACACTTATATTTGGCAAATTCAGGTTCTTGCTCACACTCAGTCACCAATCCATGTGGGTTGGAGACTCAAAGTTGCCATCAATTATTGAGGTAAGGGATGCCTGGGGGGCTCAGTTGGTTGGGCATCCGACTTCAGCTCAGGTCATGATCTCACACTCTGTGAGTTTGAGCCCTGTGTTGGGCTCTGTGCTAACAGCTCAGAGCCTGGAATCTGCTTCAGATTCTGTCTCCCTTTCTCTTTGCCCTCCCCCGCTCATGCTCTGTGTCTCTCTCTCTCTCCTTGAAAAATAAACATTAAAAAATTATTAAGATAAAAACATTCTTTGCTTATTTATTTCTGAATTGATATTCCTTGTGACATATACCATTTATATCCACTTCACTTCATGTAGTTGTCATGAGTCTTCAATAAGATAAATTGTGAAGTTCCTAGTTTATTCCTTAGGTGCTCAACTTATTTTTCTCTCCTTCCCACTTTACACTGGGACTTAACAAAACTCTTAACTGGTCATTCTCTTCTGGCCAATTTCTTCTATCTTTAATCCATTTCACCAATGACTATCAGACAAACATTCTTTAAGTATGACTTTCATTTTGTTGGAACGTAGCACCAATTTGATTATTACTCTTTGATTAGACTGAGTAACCCAGAGAAGAGTAGGTAGGCTACTGAGTTATTAATCCCAGCCAAAAGCTGAGAGGAATTACAAGATCTTTTGAGGCTAAGGTAGCCTAAGTCTCTAAAATACCCTTATCTCTGCAAGAGTTCTGCAATGATATATATATATATATATCTGCAATGATATATATATATATATATATATATATATATATATATATTCTGGGTGATTTGTAGTCCTTATAATCAATGACTTTCTGAAAGACTAGGATTAGAATACATTGATAAAGCAATGATTTGTTAAGGCTTTTGGGAAGTTTTTATTTTTATTTTTTAATTTTTTTTAACGTTTATTTTTGAGAGACAGAGAGACAGAGAACAAGCAGGGGAGGGGCAGAGAGAGAGGGAGACAGAGAATCCAAAGCAGGCTCTAGGCTCCACACTGTCAGCCCAGAGCCTGACGTGGGGCTTGAACCCACAAACCGCGAGGTCATGACCTGAGTCAAAGTCACACTTAACCAACTGAGCCACCCAGGCGCCCTTGGGAGGCTTTTATTTTTAAAAGTTGTTACTGAAATATCTGCTTTGCTGATTCTTCAATATTTAAAAACATTTTTTTAAACATATTTTTTAGAGAGGGAGAGCACAAGTTGGGGGAGAGGAGCAGAGGGAGAGAGAGAATCTTAAGCCATCTGCACGCTCAGCACGGAGCTTGACATGCAGGACTCAATCCCATAACCCTGGGATCCTGACCTGAGCTGAAATCAAGAGTCAGGCACTCAACCGATTTAGCCATGCAGGCACCCCTTATTCTTCAATATATTAGCCATGCAGGCACCCCTTATTCTTCAATAGTTAACAGAAGTTTTAGTACAGAGATTTCTGATACAGAAAGGTTGAAAAAGCACACTAATTTCTTAGTCATTCTTATAGTTGATGACTTAACTGTTTCACCACGTGGCTGGCATTTCTGAGTCAATTTTTGAAAGTCTAAGAAAGTAAAAACCAAAATTCTTTGAAGACCAACATTACATTTGTCATTTAATTGACACCTCAGAGCTCACGGCCTCTCTCTTCTCCTCTAGGAGGAATGAGGGAGCACAGCCCTTCATGACTGAGGATCCTGAAAGAGGAAATACAGACAATTGGATAGATAGAACATGGCCATGAAGGAGAGGCTCGTAAGGTCTCTGGCCCATAGCTATGCTCTGAGATGGATTTCTAGGTACATCAAATTCCCGTCTCCTTGTATCTTTCCTTGCTACATCAACTACATAAGGATCCCTTGCACTCAGTTAATTGGGACAAACCTTCAATGGACTTCCACAGAACCCCTAGACTTATCTTCTCATCTCACAGAGCAACAGGTTCGAATGGTGAGTGGTTGAAAGAAGTAGGAATGAGACTCTGCCAAGCCAGTGGGCTTCTCTGGTGGTAAAGCCATAACTAGGAGGAATCAACGGACTCAGGAGCTCTCAGAGTTGAACTCGTTTAGCTCTTCCTGATTCTGAGTCAGATTGGTTTGGGTAACTTTCTTCTTCAAGGGCTAAAAGACCTTAAAGAGGCCTCCTAGAGCCAATATAAGGGACTCACCTCTGGCAGATCCAACCAGATAAAGACTCATTAGTAAGAGAAACTTCTTCATCTGGACTTTGGGGAAGAGAGGACCCTGGTGTGGGGCACCCAAGAGCTGTGAAGTAAACCTGTGAGCAGAAGCTCCCAATGCTAGGTTACAGCTTCTGGGAATTCTAGAATCTCAGAGACCACCCGTGTTGCCTCACAATGGGTTTGAGCTTTGAGGTTCTCCTGTAGGCTGCTCAGGCAGGAAGGCCCTCTAACAACCCACGGCAAATTGTGCCAATGAAGACTAATTTGCCATGTGTCAGGTGGTGTCTTGGGGCTCAATCTCTCTGCCCTATCTTTTTTTAAAAAACATCTTATTACCAAAATAACATACTCTCTTTGAAATAAAATTTAGAAGTTATTTACTCTCTTTCAAAAGTGTTCTTGACAATGAATTGTGATTGGCTGATTATTATCTATTTGGCTCTTTAGATCAGCCTTTTTTGGCCCTGTAGGCTGACCTCTATTGATTCGATCACCTGAATGCTAGCTGGGTTTGGCTGCAGACTAAATTTAGCCTTTGGAAGATTGGAGGGGGAAATACACACACACACACACACACACACACACACAGATTGAGATTGAAATATTTCTTCTTTTCCTGCCACAGTTTTGACACTGGTTGGATCTTGACATGGCAAAGCTTCTACAGCTCCTGCTCTTCACCAGGCAGTGGTAACATGTTGGTTTTGGCAAATACATGATATGGGCACAAATAGAGATTGACAAGGGATCGTTGAGAGCTGTGCCTTGAGCTGTAATTTCTGTCAAGGGGGTAGAAGATGGATGCAATGAGGCCTCCACCTGGTATATTGGGGATTGGGTGGCAGAGATCCCCTGGCCCTCACCTCCTACTTCTTCCCTACCTTCCTCCCTTGTAGCACTTTGTTACATGTACTACTGGATGCTGGACCCAGAATAGATGTATTTGTCACTCATAATTATGTGTTTAATATATGTCTCCTCCATTTGACTCTAAACTCCTTGAAGGCAGGGTCCTTGTCTGTCTTGATCACTGTAGTATCCCCACTACCTAGCAGCAGGTTTGCCACAGAATACATACTTAATAAATGCTTCCTGAATGAAGGAATGGATGAATTGTCTTTCTAGACAAGCTGTTCCTCCCTCTTCATCCTACGTCCATCCCAAGCCCTACCCATAGCCAACTTCTAGCTCTTCTCTGAATATGCAATGCTCTCTGCCTTTTCCTAGTGCTCCTCCCCACTTTTCCTGAAATTGTACTTCTCCATCCCGTCTTCCTGATGAGAATTCTTACTCTTTACACACTCCCTAAGAAGCCTTATCATGTCCACCACCACCTACAAATTGAGGGCTCCTCATATCTGCAAGCTGGCCCACAGAGCCTTCCCTCCTTAGTTCAGATCCAGATTTCCAACTACCAGCTGGACGTTTCTATCCAAGTATTCCCACAACATCTCAAACTCAACATTTGTAATACTGAATTCATCATCTGTACCCCAATTCCGTTCCTGGGACCTTTGGTTCAGTAACTGGCTCCTCCTTCTCCCACTCCTCACACAACACATCAATTTTACCTCTAACTACTTCTTCAGTTTATCAGCCCTTCTCTACTCCCACTGACACAACCCAAGTTCAGGCTCATCCCTCCCCTGCACCACTGAAACAGCTTCTTCTTGGTCTGTTGTCCTCATCAGAATTTTCCTTTGTTCTGTCGCCATAACTGACTTCTAAAACTAAAATCCTGAGCAATGAAGTTCTTCCTAACCTGCTGCAGAAACTCCAAACAAAGATGTCCAAGATCAGGCTTCTCCAGCTTCGGTTTCCACAGCCTTACAGCCCTGCCAGTCGCACAGCACACAAACAGATGGTTAGACTCAGTCCTTTTGAGACCACGCATTCTTGAATACGGCACGAACCTGAGAAGGAGAGGCCTGTTCAAAGGTGGGGACATCCTCTGTTTGGCTGTCTGTATAGATTTGTTCCTTCTGTGATATATCAACTCAAGTCAGGGATGGGCTGTGTGATATTATCACTGGGAATTGTGTGAATAAAGGGATACAGCAATTTCTACCTTTCACTTTACCAGCTTCTTTGCATGATAGTGACTTAACCCGTGGTGTGCTGGGAACTGGCTTGAACTGGCGGATGAGAGCTGATGGTGAAAGTTCAGGAATTTTACAAGCTACTTGTCGAACACAGCTATTATTATTTTTTTCAATGTTTATTTACTTATTTAGAGGGAAGAGCACACACGAGTGAGCACAAGCAGGGTAGGGGCAGTAAGGGAGGAAGAGAGGGAGAATCCCAAGCAGGCTCCGCACTGTCAGTGTAGAGCCTGATGCAGGGCTCGCTCTCATAATCCATGAGATCATGACCTGAACTGAAATCGGGAGTCAGACGCTCGACTGACTGACCCACCCAAGCACCCTAAACACAGATATTATTAAAGTTAACATAGAAACTGACAAATCATATTAGAAACAGAGGTAAAAAATACTAAAAACCTCATCAATTCTTTATTATTTCACAGTTTACTATTATCTGTGCTTATAATGTTATTTAGTACCCTTGTTTGCTGGAAATACTATATAATGGTGGGCACGTGTCTTGTCAACGTCCGATTCAGCGATGTCAGGATGGCAGGTGGTAATTGCCATTTGCACCATGGAAATCTATAAATGCTACAAATCGGGACCTTTTTCACTAGCCTCACCCCACGAGCACCCCAGCACACCAGGAGGCTGAATCCATGTACTGTAACCCGGGGAAGGTGGCCAACTTTTCAGGACATTGAAACTTTTCAGAACTTTTCAAGACACTGAAACCTTGCAAATTCCTTCAGCATAGGAACTCATATCCAACAGGACAACTGATAAGTATTTTTAAAACTAAAATCCAGGAATTCTGTGGTTGAAGCCAGATAAGGAATGATAGTTTGTGCTAATGGTTGCATCCAATGGATGTAGTCTTTTGTCCCCACTGGTTATTGATAAAGGTTATTAGTAGCCATTGTACAAGGGCCTGCTCTTCCCAGCCTGGGAATTTTGCCACCTATGTGACAAACTTAGGTCTTGCCCTGGAATGTTTCCTGAGGCTAGGACCCTGATGCCCAGGACTCCGCCTTCACTGTATGCATCCACAGCTATTCTTCTGATTCCTTGGGAACCAGGCCACCTAATTTTTTATTTTTTTTTTTAATTTTTTTCATGTTTCTTTTTGAGAGAGAGAGAGAAGGTGAGGGGCAGAGAGAGGGAGACACAGAATCCGAAGCAGGCTCCAGGCTCTGGGCTGTCAGCACAGAACCTGACACTAGGCTCGAACCCATGAGCCGTGGTGAGCTCATGAGCTGAACCAAAGTTGCACCATTAACTGTTAACCAACTGAGCCACCCAGGCACCCTGTGGCCACCTTCTTTGTAAATGTTTATTTACTTTTGTGATAGAGGGAGTACAAGCCAGGAGGGACATTCCTTGACAGTGTTCAGAAGGGGGTTGACTGCTTCCTGATACCACCATGAGCTGTGATGACTTTGTCAAGCTTTATGTAGTTTGTATTAAGAAAGCAAAACTTTTTTTTTTTTTCCCAGATCAGTGTTCTTCCTTATTTTTTAAGTTTGTTTATTTTGAGAGAGAGAAAGCATGAGCAGGGGAGGGGCAGAGAGAATCCCAAGCAGGCACCTGACTCTCAGTCCCCGCTGGGGCTTGAACTCCCGGATTGGGAGATCACGACCAAGCCCACGAGTTGGAAGCTTGATCCACTAGAGTAACCCAGGCGCCCCTCCACATCGGTGTTTTAAAATTACACTCAGCCGGTTAAATCTGAGTCTTCGGCTCAGGTCATGAGGTCATGATCTCGCGGTTTGTGAGTTCGAGCCCTTCGAGTCTGTGCTGACAGCTTCTGTGTCTCCCTCTCTCTCTGCCCCTCCCTTGCTCACGCTCTGTCACTGTCTCAAAAATAAATAAATAAATAAATAAATAAATAAATAAATAAATAACATTAAAATTACATTCAGCAGTGTATAAACGAGCAAAAATCTCTAGTCTGGCATGCAGCCTGCCTGGAAGATTACCCCAAATCTGCTTTTTCAGGTTTAGTGACTTATTTAGCACCAGTGCAGGCACGTATCCATCTCCGTGAAATCAGGAGATTCCCGAGTCTGCGCTCACACCGCATTCAGGGAAGTGGTCTCGAGTCCAGAAAATCCTGGCGTCACGTGCCCCACCCCTCCAGGTTCCTCAGCTCACCTGAATCTCAAGAATTCTTGGGCTGAGCAAGGCGGACACGATTCTCCCATTAAAAGCTGGGGGTGGGGGGGAGGGGGGGTCATGTGACCAAAAGAAGCCGTGAAAGGACGTGGCTCCCCCAGCGGGGCCAGTTGGAGGTGAGCGGAGACCCGGAGGCGGGCGGGGAGGCTGGGGCTCCCACCAGGCGCTCTGTTCACTCCAGGGTCTGTGGAAGCCCAGCCCTCAGCTCCCATTGGTGGCCGCTCCCCGCCGGGGGGCATAAAGCCAGATACTCAGGGGCTGACGCCAGTGGCTCTGTCCCTCCTTCTGTGGCCTGGTCCGAGATGGGTGCGCGCCTCCTGCTGCTGGGCCTCTCCTTGTTGCTGGGCTTCCTGCAAGGTGAGCCAGTGCAGGGTCTCTGGAAGGACCTTGGGCACTGGGGCTGGGTGCTCTGTGCGTTGGTGGGTCAGGGGGAGGTGAGGAGCAAGGCACCAGGGCCTAACCTTAACCTCAGAGGCGATCGTGGTCCTTACCTCCTCGCCCCACTGTTTTTCCTCCGTCTCTGCCTCCCCTCTCCGATGCTTCCTCCACTTTTGTCACTGCTTTTTCCTTTCTCCTTTCTCCCCTCTTCCCACTTTTACTTCACCTCCTTCCCACCTCAGTTCTCATCCGTTACTCCCCAGTTCCTCAAGCTTTCTTGCCGAGAGCCCTACATTTGCGTAAAAGGGAGCAAAGAAGGTTCTTTGTGGGTGGCGAAGGCAGTGGGGGCCGTCCAGAAGGATTGGGAAGATCGGTGACAGGCCATATGAGGGGGGTTGGCAGAGCTGCGGTGTAGGACTTGACCTTCAGCACAGTCCGTCCCTGGGAGTAGAGGGGCATCCTGTCGTACTGGCCCGCTTGCCTCCTC